TAAGCTGGTTAAGTGTGGGCTGGATGGTGTAACCGTTGGATGGATTCATGGTTGGTTGAAAAATCGTACCCAACGAGCGCTCGTAAATGGCTTTGTGGAGGGAAGTCTTGAGTGGAGTGCCGCAGGGCTCGGTCCTGGGCCCAGTGTTGTCCAATGTTTTTATAAATGACCTGGAGGAAGACATAGAGGGGATGCTTATCAAATTTGCAGATGACACGAAGCTGGGTGGGATTGCTAATTCTGAAGAAGACAGAGTCAGGATTCAAAAGGATCTAGATTGGCTGGGACAGTGGGCTGAGACAAAATGAATTTCAATAGAGATAAGTGGAAAGTCTTACACTTAGGTACAAAAAATCAGAGGGACAGATATAGAGTGGGAGGGACTTGGCTTGACAACAGCACACGTGAAAGGAATCTAGGTGTTCTGGTTAATCACAGGCTAAACATGAGCCTGCAGTGTGATGTGACTGCGAAGAAAGCTAATGCAATCTTAGGATGCATTAACAGAAGCATTGTGTCCAGATCAGGGGAGGTGGTAGTTCCGCTCTCTTCTGCTATGGTCAGGCCTCACCTGAAGTACTGTGTCCAGTTTTGGGCACCACATTTTAGGAAGGATGTTGACAAGCTCGAGCGTGTCTAGAAGAGGGCAACCAGGATGGTGACAGGGTTGGAATCCAAGTCTTATGAGGAAAGGCTGAAAGAGTTGGGTATGTTTAGCCTGGGAAAGAGAAGGCTTAGAGGGGACATAATTGCAGTGTTCAAGTATTTGAAGGGCTGTCATGTAGAAGATGGAGCAGATCTATTCTCTCTTGCTTCAGATTGCAAGACTAGATCTAATGGGTGGAAATTACAAGGGAGTTGCTACCGGCTAAATATCAGGAGAAACTTCCTTACTGTAAGAGTGGTTGAGCAGTGGAACAGACTGCCACGGAAGGTGGTGGATGCTCCTTTGCTGAACATTTTCAGGCGGAGGCTGTATGACCATCTTTCGGGTATGTTGTAGGGCTATCTTTCGGCTATGCTCCTGCAGAGTGCAGGGGGTTGGACAAGATGACCTGCAAGGTCCCTTCCAACTCTAACATTGTATGATTCTATGATTCTAATAAGCAAATAAATAACAAGAAGGCTCAGTGTTTTGTATTGTTTTTTACCAGGGGCCCATGGACTTTGGTTTGAATTACTAGCCAGCTGTTATTTATCCTTACCACCAGCCCCTCCTTACCCTCATGTTGTTGTGGTCCATGGAGATATTGGGGAAGAGAGGAGACTTATACCACTACTTGCCATCTCTGAAGATTGCTGTAAAGTGAGAAAAAGGCTGTTCCTCCCCTGAGTCTTATAGTAAGAGACTCAAGGAAGGGTTTTTGTGTGTTTATTTTTGATGTTGCACACTTTTTTCAGAGTCTCATTTCGCCTTCTGCAAAGCCAGCTTGGAGTAACAGATGAGCTCCTCTGCGACTAATGGAGAATGGGGGTGGGTGGATTATTGCTGCTAATGGCCTGGAGAATGGGTTTGTGAATCCCTGGTGGTGTGAATTTGTAGTGCAAGTGGGCTTTCATTTAATAAAAGTGAAAAATGTTGCAAGTTCAGTACTTTTACATCCTAGTCCAATGCATGCATACTTCTATACGCAGTTCCACAAAAGTCTACATAAGGTTGTATCCTAGACTTATAGGCAGTTCCAAGTAAGTCTACATAAGAATTTATCCTAGATGTTTCTTTGAAATGTTTTGCTTTTTCTCTAGGACAGGGAAAGTAGGTTGTTGCACTGCATTGGGCGTTAAAGCCTAACTTTCTGTCCTTGGTCCGTAGCAATGAATATGGCTGCAAAACACCCAAAGTGCTGTCTGAAGGAGAGTTACACCCCTCTAGGTGAGCTGAAAGTAGACTTAGGAGGGTATAACTCCGTTCAAGATTGCACTGAAAGCCATGGAAACCATTTTTTAAAGTGTCCTGGGTGCTCTGTTTGGCATGTGGGAAAATATGTGTCTCCAATAAATTGTTAACTTTCACATGCATACTTTTACTTCCAATGTACTGTGAGTAGCTAAAAATTGGTACTGCCAGTTGCTAATGTTCTGCACTATTTGGGCCTCTTTAGTTTAGAGAAAAGATTTATGTTGGAAAAAGGAGTGATTGACTAGATCTCTATTTATTTTATTTATTTATTTATTAGTTCGATTTATATATACCCCGCCCTCCCCAGCAGGCTCAGGGCGGCTACAACAAAGGCAATTGCCATAACAACAGTTAAAACATCATAAAACAATCATTACACAATAAAAACAATAATTAAGTAAAGTGTGGTGCTCTTGATGTTAAAATGTTTTTCTCAGTCCAAGATGGGTTCATTCATTAACCTAACCTGACAGCATGCATTCTTTGGTTCTTTGGTTACCTAGGCGTCTGGGCGTCTGCCCAGGGCCGGCTCACCTCCAGATCTAGTCCACCGTCAAAGATGGCAGCTCGGTGGTGGTACAGTGGCGGCGGCGGCTCCTATACAAAGGCCTGGCAGAAGAGCTCCGTCTTGCAAGCTCTGTGAAACTGCGCCAGGTCCCGCAGGGCCCGAATCTGTTCTGGGAGCTCGTTCCACCAGACAGGAGCCGCCGCCGAAAAAGCCCTGGCCCTGGTTGCAGCCATCTTGATGTCCTTGGGGGCGGGAACCATCAGTAGGTGCTGCGACCCCGACCGTAGCGCTCTTGGGGGAACATATGGGGAAAGGCGGTCCCTTAGGTACGCTGGACCCTGGCCATTAAGGGCTTTATAGGTAAGAACCAGCACTTTGAAGCGAATCCGGTATGCTATAGGCAGCCAGTGCAGTGCCTTCAGCGCAGGCTGGATGTGGTCCCGTCTAGTAAGACCCATCAGCAGCCTGGCCGCCGCGTTCTGCACCAGCTGCAGCTTCCGGATTAGCGACAAAGGCAGCCCCATGTAGAGAGCGTTGCAGTAGTCCAACCTTGAGGTGACCGTCGCATGGATCACTGTGGCTAAGTCATTGTGGTCAAGGTAAGGAACCAACTGCCACGCCAGCCGAAGATGGTAAAAGGCTGACTTGGCAGTGGCTGCCACCTGGGCCTCCATTGATAAGGTGGAATCCAGGAGCACTCCCAAACTCCTAACCCCCGACACCAGCACGAGCGGCGCCCCATCGAAGGCCGGGAGAGGGAGTCCCAACCCCGAACCGACCCGACTTAGGCCCAGGACCTCCGTCTTCGCCGGGTTTAACTTCAGCCGACTCAGGCTGAGCCAACCAGCCACAGCTTGAAGTGCCCGATGAAGGTCATCTGGGTCGGAGTTCGACCGGCCGCCCAACATCAGATAGAGCTGGGTGTCATCCGCATATTGATGACACCCAAGCTTAAACCTCCGGACAATCTGGGCAAGGGGGCGCATATAGATGTTAAATAGCATCGGGGACAGTACTGCCCCCTGAGGCAACCCACACTCAAGAGGATGCCTCCGGGACTGCTGTTCCCCTATCGCCACCCTTTGTCCCCGACCTTGCAGGAACGAGGCAAGCCATTGAAGGGCGAGCCCCTGAATTCCCACGTCGGCAAGGCGGCGGGCCAGCAGCTGATGGTCGACCGTATCAAAAGCGGCCGACAGATCTAGCAACAGCAATGCCGTCACACCGCCTTGATCCAGATGCCTACGGAGGTCGTCAGTCAAGGCGACCAAAGCCGTCTCCGTCCCATGACCCGGGCGAAAACCAAACTGGAAGGGATCTAGGACTGAAGCATCCTCCAAAAAGCCCTGTAGCTGTGACGCCACCGCCCTCTCTATAAGTTTGCCCAAATAGGGCAAATTGGACACCGGCCGATAGCTGGCCAATTCAGCCGGGTCCAGAGATGGCTTTTTCAAGAGAGGGCGGACCATCGCCTCCTTGAGTGCTCCAGGGAACCGTCCTTCCGAAAGGGACTTGTTGATAATCTCCCACAGAGCACCTCGAAACCCCTCATGGCCCGCTTTAATGAGCCAGGAGGGGCACGGATCAAGGACGCATGTGGTTGGGTGCACAGATACGAGCAATCTGTCAACTTCGTCCAGACTGAGTGGGCTAAAGTATTCTAAACCCGGAACCGAAGGCGTGCAAGGGGCCTCAAGTTCACTTACTGTCTCAATTGTGGCCGGGAGGTCGCGGCGGAGCGCCAAGACTTTATCTGCAAAATAGCTCGCAAAAGCCTCGCAGCCAATGTCCAATTCCCTATCGTTTCGCCTGCCCTGGGGCAGGTCTGTCAGAGACCGAATCGTACTAAATAATTGGGCCGGGCGTGAGCTAGCAGATTTTGTGTTTGGTGCAGAGAAAGTGGGTAAGATATTTCTTCTGTCTCCCACTAAAACTTTGGGTTCACCTACTGAGACTGACAGTAGATTTACAGCAAAGAGTAGAAGGGTAAAGAAACAATTACCATGGAGAACTCACTTCAGCAAGTTGTGACACGTAGTGGCTTGGATTGCTTTAAAAGAGAATTCAACAAATTAAAGGTCAGGCAGTAGCTGTCAGCTGTGATAACAAAAAGGAGCTGCCTAGTTCAAAGGCAGTAAGTGTCTGAATGCCAGTTGACATGGGCGAACAGGAGGATATTGCCACCTTCATGATCTACTCTTGAGTTTCTTTGGGTCATCTGGTTGACCACTGCTTGACTAGATAAACCCTCCTGTAGGTTTTCTCCGGTTCACTCACACAGCATACTCCTGCCCACTGAGTTGGAGGGAAAAGGTGGAAACAGAAGCAACTGATTTCCTGCAAGTCACTGCTTCTGTAGTCTGCATAGGACTGAGTGGGAAGAGCATCCTTGCCACTATCAGGAACAGGCAAAGAGAAATTGGGTCGGTGGGTGGGGCATAATGGCTAGCTGCTGCAACACAGTGAATGTGAGCACAGGATTCTAAGACCTGGTTGTCTCCATTTTTTTTTTGCCCTCTTGTGCTAACAATGTCCTAGTGGTGCCACATATTACTACAAAAGTGTACTTTTTGGTTTCTGCCAGCACAAGGGGACTTACTAGCAATCCTGTCTTTGTTCACTGGCCATAACTTCAGGATCGCACAGTTCATTAATTTGTTGAGCAGGAAAATTACATGTAACTAGCAAGCAGCTGATATAATCTACTGAAATACTTTCCACTTTCATGTGGTTTAACTTAGATTGTGTACACAATTTAATGGGTTGCTTTTTTTATTCTTTCTTTGGACAAAATGTTGGTTTTTAAATGTCCTTTTGAATGTTCACAGGCCTCAGGAAATCAATAAAGAAGAACTTGAAGAAAACAGTATGAGGTGTGGCAGGAAACTCTCCAAGGATGGTGATGTGAGTACAAATATTTCTCGGTGCCTCTCTTAATTAACTGTTGCCAAAAAGTGATTTTTAATGTAAGTAAACTGTCAGGTATTCCTGTATATATAATTATTTTCTGACTACAAACACTAACCTAAAATAAGCTATACAAGGATCTTATATAATGATTAGATGCATATTTAGTTAAAGCTCGCTCTATAGAAATTAGTTTTGGGAATATAGCTAATTTTTACTGCTTCTATTACAGACTGGTAATTATAAAATTGAATCAAGTAGATACAGACAATAAGACTTTTAGACTTATACAATTCTACTAAATCTGTTTCTTCCCTTTATCTTTCTTCTTTTCGTATTTCCATTTGACTTTCAGGACTTTTGGGACTGCCACCCCTAATTCTGATTCAGAGTCTTCTTCTGGGTTACTACTTGCTGTTGATTCCAAATCTTCCATCCCATGTGTGCTGCTTGTTTCTTCGATATTTTGTTCCTCTGCTGAATCTTTTTTGTTTGCTGGTTTTTGTTGCTGTTCCAAGAACAACTTCGCTTTTAAAACAGAGTCTATCTTTTCTTTTTTATCTTTGTAGTTGAATACCAATCCTTTGGGTATTATCCATCTGTAGGGGGTGGAGTTTTTCTGCAAGAAGCTGGTTAAATTTTTGTATTGTATCCTTTCTTATTTCAAATAGACTGTCTTTTAAGACTCTGCTTTCTTCGTCTTTGATTTTTAAGGTAGTCCCATTTGTGGCCTTGAGCACCATGTCTCTTGTTGATCTTTTAGAGAATCTCGCCACTATCTCCCCAGGCAGGTTCTTTTTCTTAATAAATTCTGGATATGTCCGATAGACCAGATCCAGATCGCTTTGCAATGTGTCCGCCGTTAAACCTGTCATTGGGGCCAGTGCTTCACTTAATATTTCTTTCAGATTCTCATCTTGCTGTTCAGGAACACCTTAAAATCTCAGAACATATGCTGATTTTTCCATTTGTAGTCTTAAAAGTTGATCTTTATCAGAGGATCTTTGTTTTCCCATCACCTCCAGTCTTTGATTAGTCTCTTTTACTTTGGCTTCAACCTTTTTCACTGATTTTACAGTTTCCTCTGTTTTTAAGTTTGTGTCTTTAAGCTGTTTTTGGATCTCATCCAACTTCTTGTTGGTGATAGTCATTTGCTCCAGCAGAGGGTGCAGTGCAGTAGCCAACATGTTCAAGAAGTCAATGTTTACTTCCGGTTATTAGCCAGATGTGTTGGTCTTGTAGTTCCAGGAGAGTGTCTCAGTCTCGTCGCCATCTTTTCTGCCCGTCCAGTCATTGTTTACATTTCAAGAAAAGTTTTCAAAAGTCAGCAAAAGTTGCTTCAAAAGCTCGCTTTAATTAAATTTGTACTTTGCCTGATTCAATTGACCATTGCCGTTTCTCCTAGCCCCTCTCGCTAGATAAGTTCGCTTAAAAATGTATGGGGGGGGGAGATGTGAGCTAGCTCCCTCCCCCCTCTGTTGATGCCATTCGGGCTTTGGATATACGCTTTGCCAGATAGCCAGTCAAAGAGAAATTTGCACTCATGCTTCATTCCACGTCTGCTGCAGAGGTAGGGAGAGCTTTATTTTCGTGGGATCACTTGTTTGCTCACCCAGTGTATGCCTCTTAATGCCATGATGGTGCCGCAGCGACAGGACCTATCAGGGCTCGGAGGTGCCTCAATTCCTTGGCTGCAGCCTTGGGAGAGGCTACCTCCAGCACCCCAGGCTGGGAGTCCCCTCCAAGAACTCGGGGGGGGGGGTTTCCGGATCAACCGGCCCCCCTCCCATCCGCCCCATCATGGGCCGCTCCTTTTGGAGCACCGAAGGAGCACGCCCGCCATGAAAGTTGCCAAAACCGGAAGTCAACTGTCAGGTATTCCAATAACTCAGCACCAACACACAGGACCTAAGTAGGTTCAGTTTATTGGTCAGAGTAAAGGACACTCCAGGAACTTCTGTGTCAGGAATAACATAAAACGAGTGGGCTAAGCAGTTATACCCCAATCATACAAGACCCCCTGATGAGCAGAGGCCAATGAGCAAACACCTGCAAGCGCGTGGAAAAGCTAATGAACCCAGTGAGGACGGGAGACTGGCAAAGGAGGCAGGACGGAGAAACCAGGCGCTCAAGGCCACAGAGAGATAACAAGGCAACAGGGAGAAGACAGCTGCAGGAAAACGCGGGGTGGCAAAGCGCCAGTGCACAGCCCACACAGCCCATCACATTAGGCATTCATGGTGGTGTCAACCGACATCGACAGGTAAACCTTTCCACAAGGGTTAAATGACGTTGTGTGACACCTGGAGAGTATACAAGTATTATGCTAACATGTCACTGCTCTTCATGATCCAGGCTAGCCTGATCTTGTCAAGCTCTTGGAAGTTAAGGAAGGTCTGTTCTGTCCTGGTTAGTACATCAGTAGGAGACCACCAGTGATGTCCAGGGTTGCTACACAGAGGCAGGCAATGGCAAGCAAGCTCTGTTCGTCTCTTGCCTTGAAAACCCAATAGGGTTGCCATAAGTCGGCTGTTACTCAATGGCAGTTTCCACAACCATAGGAACATGGCACTGCTCTGGATATAAACAAGCATACAGAATACAGCAGTAAAACTTTGAGCAGGAGAAAATACTTTATTAGACTTCTTGTGCTGGCATCAGAATCGGTGAGGACAAGGTAGGAAGTGCAGAATTTAGGACAGAACGCATGGGAAAGTGTCTTGCCTTATTGCTCCTTATTCCTTATTCTTTGAAGTATTGTTGGCGATGGACCGGTTTCAACTTTGGCTTTGATTTGCTGGTCACATATACAAACCGTTACATCATCTTCAAGCGCAACACGCTGAATCAGCCATGCAGCGGCTCAGTCAGTTTGCAGCCCCGAAGGAACATTGCTTTCAGGTGAGTGAGGCGAGCCTGTTGCCCTGCAGGGACCTGGGAATGTTGAGGATAGTTGAGCTTCATTAAAAGGAGGTGGGGGTGGGATTTGGCCTACTCAAGCCTTTAACATTTTACAGTGTCCTGAAAGGGAAGATTGGGACTGGACACCTCACCTCCCCCCCACCCGTTTAGAATGCTGTACAGTTTCAATAGCCATGGCTACTGACAGGGAATTAATTAGAATTGGAGGGAAAGCACTTTTTGCAATCTCAGCTAATTGATTAATCTCAGACTCTTTAAACTGTGAACGGGTAGAGCCCCGAACAGTTTATAGTATCCTGGAATAGTGGGTGCATGTTGGAGGGTTTATGGCATAAGTTGCACATTCCAGCCTACCCCCTACTCTGTTGTAGGGCATGGGAAGAGGGCAGTAAAAATATGTCATTCTTGCACTTTATGACTTGGGTTCAGAGTTAAATGAGGAGTATCCTGTGCTCCTAGCCCTTAACCTTAACCTCAGGCCATCAGGAAAATTGCACTAGAGTATTAGAAAGTTGAAGTTCTGTGCAAATCGAACAGAAAACTTTGCACTGATTGTGCTTTGGGGAATGGGGATTTCTAATAATGATCCACAGTTCTTCACAGAATCTTCTGTCTATTTGTTAACTTCTGTTTCCACAAACAAATACAGAAGGCACAAAGTGGAGAGGTTCTGTAGGACAGTAAAGGTTCTTGTTGAATGACAGAGACAACATACCTGTTCATAAAACTGGTGTGGATGTGTATCAGTAATACTGTCTCACTCTTATGAATTCATAAGGGTTTTGAATACATTCTTTTTTGATCCTGCTGAGCTCTATCATGGCAGCACAGGGCAGCTTGTGGGTGCTAAACTTGGGTTTAAGTGGTGGTAGAGAAAGGACTAATCTTGGGGAAAAACATGCCCTTTGGTGTGTGTTTTGGAATCCAGTTTCCTTCTCATTGAACAGTTGTTTGGGGGTTGAATGGAGGCTGAGTGAGGCTGGTCTCTCTCCATTTCAGCATGTTGCCACTAGGCAGAAAAGGTCAAATGTTCCCAGGAAGGGAAGTAACTGAGTCAGCTCCTTTTACTTTCATTAAGTCGATCTGGGCCCCTTGAGAAGAAGCCCAGTGTTTGCTTCTACTCTTCTATTTCCTTGTCTTCTCCTTCACTTCCCCCAGCTACTGGAAGATGCTGTGTAAGTTCAGGCAACTGTAATGCGGACCACAACAGCCTATGAAGAAAGGAGATGGCCTCTTTTTTTCCCCTTCACCACTCTCTAACTTTTCACAAGTTTCAGCTTTCATAGTGTGGCTTCTCTTCCATCCTTAGGTTGCGTTTGGCTTCTTTTGATAGCAGTGGAAAACTTATTTGCAGTAGAACTGCAGGATATCAGATATTAACCCTTGAAAAAGATCAGGTATGTTTTCTGGTCATTTCAGATTCTTGTGTATGGGCATTCATCCTTAGAAAATTCAGTACATTTGTAGGAAGAAACAAGTAAAATCAGGAAATGGATTTATTGGATTTCAGTGCTGGACTATAATGAGATTGTTTCTTATGGAGTTTCACTGTATTTGCATTTTTAAAGGTGCCAAGCCCCAGAGTCTCTGACCCAACAGCCATTTCTTGTGGTCCACTGACAGCTGTTCTATGGCAACATTTTACATGTATTTTATTTTGTTTATTTAGAAATTTTTATTCCGCTTTTGCATAATCCCGCTGAAGGCAGCTTAGAAATAAAAACACCATAGAATAATTAAATCATCAAAAATTAATATAAAAAATAGAGCAAGCCAGTCACTATAAATACAGCGTAAAAATATCCATAAAACAGATCCTCGGACCAGAAGCAGCCTATAAACAGCTGAAAAGAGAAAAGCATTCAGAAAAGCATTTTCCCAAGATACATGAGCAGGGGTCATTCGTAGAAAAAGAGGTGCAGGAGCTCATTAGCATAACTTATTTGCATATGCCACACCCCCTGACATCATCAGAAGTGTGTCAGAAGGCAACACCCACTGCTCAGGCGCCACCCCAAAAATCTCCAGGTATTTTCCAACTCAGAGCTGGTAAGCCTACTTGGAGAAAAACTGCTTCAAAAGCACAAAGCAAAAATGTTTGAGAAATCCCTCCCCAAATCTCCCCAATCAAGATATAAATTCTTAGGTGCTTGAGCAGAGCAACCTCCCCTCTCAGCTTCACCCCGCATGTCAGGGCAATGACTATGTTCCCTCATCAGCATGTGAGGGAGGGGGTCTTTTAATTTGCAAACTTAATATTTTTCAAAATATTTAAGAATTCTCAAGAAACAATTTAACCCTTTATTTCAGAATATCTAAGCACCTAGTTTGTGAATAGTCAGCCCGCCGCTATCCACTCTCTCAAGGAGGAAATGGTTCTTCCCTTTCCCTCCATCCAAGTGTGCTGTCAAGCAGAACAGCCACAGGTGGATCAGATTTCCTGATTATAAGCACGTTTGCTCAGAGTT